GTGCCTTTAGCTCATCTCCAACGAGGCTCACAAGATAACCCTGGCAATCACCCCATCGAAGAATCTTTCTGGCTTTCGCCATAGAAATAACATGAGGCAGAGTACGAGTCCTGGAGCCGTAATAAGTGATCTGATCATCTCCCGGAAGATAAAGAGTAATCTCCCGGTCGTGACATCGGATATCTGCGTGAAAACGTATTACCCAATCCATACCGAGTATGAGGTCAAAATCCCTCATCTCGATAACATAAGCATCAGTAATCAGAATACAGCTGCCGATGGAAAGGCTGAGATCGGTGGCTCTAGCGTCAGTCACTATCTTTCTTCCCGAGGCTAAACTCACCTCGAGAGGATCGACAGCGGTAGTGGAACGAACCCCAATAGCTTCGAGACATCGACGTGATATAAAGGAATGGGTCGCTCCGGTATCAAATAAGGCACAGACAGGCACATCATTAAGAATAATCATCCTGGACATGGTACCTGGGTGCTGGTCAGCCTCCCTCTGGTCAACTGCAAAGACGCGGGCCTGCTGTCTGCTGCGTGGCTGTTGTTGGGGTCGTGGTGGCTGCTGCCTGGGCTGTTGTTGTTGAAGTTGCTGTGGTGGTTGACGTTGTTGTGGTTGTTGTTGCAGTCATTCAGGGCAGTTGGGGCTGATGTGGCCTTGCTGGCGGCAAAAGAAACAAACATTCTGGCCCACGAGGCATTCTCCACGGTGGTGTTTCCCGCATGTTGGGCATTCTGGTATTGTTTTCTGTCTTTGGCGGTTTCTGCGATCGTCAGGACCCCCTTTGAACTTTTTTTTATTATTGTTTGTTGATGGTTGGGCAACTTTGGGCTGTGCTGGTGGCTGAGCAACTGGCTGGACTGATGTCTGGGCGGCTTCTCGTCGGATACTGGCATCGACTTCTTGTGCAATGGCAACTGTGCGGGCGTAGGTCTGGACGCCGTGACCTACGATGTTGTGGCGGACTGCTGGGCGAAGTCCGTCGATGAAACGATGGGCTCTCTTCACCTACGTACCCACAAGATCAGGTACAAAGGCTCCGAGATGGGTAAACTCTCTTTCGTACTCGTCAACAGAACGAGTACCCTGGGTGAGTGCCAAGAACTGGCGCTCCATGTCTGCTCGATAATACGAGGGATAATACTTCTCTCGGATCAGCTCCTTGAATTGGTCCCACGTACAACGATCTTTCTCATCGGGACGCATACTCCATTAGGCATGCCACCAGAGTCGGGCATCACCGGTCAGGTGGATCTGGGCACATAACATGCGGTAATGATCAGGGCAGTTCATGACCTCGAAAATCATCTTGAGGCTCTGAACCCATTCATCTACTATACGAGGATCTCCTTGGCCGGATAAACTTTTCTGGATGGTAGTCGCGAAACTGGGCGACCACTGTGGCCTGTGGGAGTTCCTGGTGATCTGGTTCTCTACGAGGAGGCATCTGAACATTGAAATGTTTAACATGATTAATTAACATAAACGGTTAACTGACTGACTACTTAAGTACACAAATTTCTTGACGAGTCGCTATATAACCCGAGAATACTAAAGTCGAACTATCAAATGACTGAGACAATCGACTAGGTTTTGAAAATACTAGAGCATCTTACTGGTTTCTAGGGTCAAATATCTGATACCCTCTTACTGAGCATAGACTTAAGTATTCGTTTAAATATATAAACTATAACTCAGCACTTACCTGATAGTCGACGAGGCGTGAGCGTAGTGTAATCGGGTCTTTTCTGAAAATTTCTAACTTTAAAAGTATTCAGATACACGAAAATGTGCTCTGATACCAATTTGTAACACCCCGCTAGCTTACTAAAATCAGAGTGCGATTTTCGCAAATTCTTTTCTAAAGTTTATATTTTAGTTTGCGAAACATATCTCGGGATGCTACACCAAAATATTTCTTTTCTAAAAATTCGTTAACTTTATTAATTTTAAACCCATTCATGAAAAACGGATTATCTTTTATAAAACAAGCGTGTGATACTGTATAAAACTTGACTCGTAAGCTCGGATCGTCGTCTGAAAATTTACACGCTAGTTTGAAAGTCTGAAAACGTCAGCAGAAGTAAAATGTGGCATATATATACATATCAACAGTCTGCAAAAATATATACATGCTTACATGTACTGGACCGACGACCACCAGCTCCACTCACTCCTCCAGACCGACCCTGTCACCTGAAAAGATCATAATAGTGGGAGCGTGAGTACTAAAAACCCTGTACTCCGCAAAAACTCATACTAAAGTAAACATTAAAAATAATATCAATATCATGACTTCAGGTATATATAAGTAAACTGTAATCTCCAGACACAAGGTCTGTAACTAAACTGAACCTCCTCGGACACTATGTCCGCCATGTGCACATTCCGATGGCCTATTAAGGCTACTGCGCCTCCACCGGAACTCGGGATTGCCTATTAAGGCTACTGCGCCTCCACCCAGAGTGGAATAACTCATATACATACCTTAAAACATGATAGAGCAATTATAACCAATGTAATACCCAGTCTGAGTTCCCACCTGTACTGATAATGTAAGTGCTGCTGCTGATCACTCTGTAAAAATATATAAATAAACAAATACTAAGTACTATGCTCAGACTGACTGAAAATAATTGTTAAGACGCTCGACTCGATCTAAATATTTAACTGGAATATTCTTGGGACTTAACTTGAGCGACAAGATAAACGGACTAAACTGATACTGATAAACTGGACTGACTAGACTGAAAAATTAACTGAAATACTGTACTGGACTCGGACCGAATCAGTAATTACTGAACAGCTCAAAATCCGGT